ACAAACTAAGGAATTCCAGTTTTGGGGAGACCGAAATCAAAGAGTGGGAGTGAATGGCTGGGCTGGTTTACCTGAGGAAAATCTAGGGGCTGTGTGTGGATGAAAAGTGAAGCTGTTTTTAAAAGCACGATATGGGATGTAAAGACAGAATAAAGTGACCTGCTCTGGCACTGCCACTGACCAGCCGGCGCTCTGTGGTTCTGCGCGGCTCGCCCAGCCTCTCCAGCCGGCGAGAGGGACAGCAGGACAGTCCACACTTAGATGGGACGGTGTCTGTAAAACGCCTGGCACACGGTAAACAACCAAACGTTTGTCCTGCTAATGATGACCATTTTCTGCTATGTCTCAGAGTCTAGTTCTACTTTTACAGAATATCAGTTACTTCACAACTTGAGACAATTGGGAAATTTAGCAGAAAGTTCAGGAAACCAGAATTTCACCTGAGTTAAGAATCAGACTTACTCAAGAAAGTGAAAAGGCAAACACATAGAACGGAGAAAATACCTGCGATCACCTATCTGATAAGGAACTTGTATCTAGAATACAGAAAGAACTCTTGCCACTAAGAAAAAGAAAAATAATCAAAGTTTTAAATGGGCAAATGACCTCACAAGACAGAAGACACACAAATGGGCAATAAACACGAGCAGGTGCTCAACAACAGCAGCCCCAGCAAGTGCAGATCAAAGCTGCCGACACCGTTACACGCCCAGGAGGAGCTGCCGTCAACACAGCCAATGGGAAGTGCTGTCGAGAAGGTGGCAGGGATGCTGGGGACGTGGCAGGCGCAGCAGTGGGGACTGCAGCTCACATTTATTCAGTCGATTCACTTTATTTATGCAAAATGCACAATCTGCTACCATTTCCATCATTGAACCAACTGACTCGTAAAAAAAAAGAGCTGACCAGTGGCTACAGCACATCCCCGAAAGTCTCCATTTTATAGGAAATGTGCAGAATCTTGCATTCCACAGTGAGATAAAGCTAGTTTTGAAAGAAACAGAACATTCGGATTCATTATCATAAGTGTAATTTAATCCACAAATGTTAAATATGGTGCATTATGGCCTCACGTCTACTGGGAAACTGAAAGGCTCTCACGGAAATGCACGCCAAGAATAACGATGACAAACGCGGAATTTCCCCGCTGCCACTTCAACGCCTGGACTGCTCTGTGGGAAAATACCACTGTTCAAAGCCACACACAACCAAGTGGGAGGTGGGGGATTAATTCTTTCAGTTTGTGGAAGTTTACTGTCATCAAAAAATAAGCTCAGGGGCCGGCCGAGTGGCACATTGGTTAAGAGCTGGCTTGGGACGCCAGAGGGCCCCGGTTTGGATCCCACATATGAGGGCCAGTGACACTGCCCTCTACAGCTAAGATGCTGAACAACAGCTCAACCTGGAGCTGGGCTGCCGTGAGTCGATGGCGACGGCGTAGGCTGCAGCCCCTGCTGCAGTGGGTTGCCATGGGCTACCGTGTGTAGCCAGCAGCCAGCGTGAGCGGCCAGCAACCGCAGTGAGCGGCCGTCCAGAAGCCGGCGACTGATCTGCCTCGCCCGGGAAGAGCGCAATGATGGTGCCAACTTGGGCCAGTGAAGCAACGTCCTCCACAACTAGACTGAAGAACAAAACGACAGCAACTTGTCTGTTCCCCTTCCCCCAATTCTCCAGCACTGTTCCCATCCCCCCAATTCCCCAATAAAAAAAATCTTTAAAAATAAAAATAAAATAAGCTCACAATTCTCTGCTTCCCAAAACATATGATCACTGAAGTACAGGCATGAGCTGTCATTAGCCTGCCGTGGAAGGAGCCTGTAGGGTCCCCGCGCCTCCACCTTCTCCTTCACACGAGGGCACTGAGCTGAGGCCCTGCTTGCGGGGCACACAGGCCACACGTGGATGAGGGCTGAGCAGGGTGACAAGTGGCTGACTCCCGAGTGGACCGCTTTCCTGGACATCCTGCTGGGACAGCCCTTCCTGGAGGTGACGTGCCTGAGTGCCTGAGGCAGAGACAGCAGGTGGGGCCCACGCAGCCCACGTGCCACAGGACCTCACTCACTCCCGGGCGCATCCGCTCCCACCTGGCCTTCCATGCACTGAGCTGATCAGGTGCTTTGGGAAAGCAGACGGGTGACTTCCGTCAGTGGCACTCAGGCTAACCACCCTGCTTTCTGCTCTGGTGGTGGCTCTGTCCCCCTCACCTTCTGCGCTTCAGCCCCGATATTCAAAATGCTGCAGATGGAAGGTTTGGGCCACTGAGCATCCAACTATCTTCCTAGGTGCAGTCCGCCCTCGTAAGAGGCACAGCTCACCTCCCACATGGGTTAAGGGCCTGGTCTCTGCCCAGGTTCTGACCTGGGGCTCCCGAAACCCTTGTGAATTCCTGAGTGACACGCACACCAGGAGCATCTCTGGTTCTGATGAGGGGGCTGTGGGTGGCTCCTGGGTGGGGGCTGCTCCCCACAAAGCCCAGGCCATGACGAAGCCTGGGGTTTCCAGCCCTGCCCCCATCCTCTCGAGAAGGAAAAGGACTAGAGATGGAGTTCTGACCGGTCATGCCGACATGAGGGAGCACCATAAAATCCTGAAAATAAGGGGTTCGGGGAGCTTCCCTGTTGGGGAACACATCCACATGCAGGGGGAGTGACGCACCCCAGCTCCACGGGACAGGGCTCCTGCACCCTCTGGGTCATATCACCTGGCTGCTCACCTGTGTCCTTTACCACGTCCCTTGCTGAACTGGTGACCGCCAGTGTCTCCCCTGAGTTCCGTGAGCCACTCTAGCAAGTTAATCGAGCTCGAGGAGATGGATGAATGAACCTCTGCTCTGTGGCAGGTCAGACAGAAGCACAGGCGAAACCTAGACCTGTGACTGGCATCTGACGTGGGCGGGGGGACAGTCCTGGGGACCTGAGCCCTTCGCCTGTGGGCCCTGATGTTCTTTCCAGGTTCACAATCAGAGGCTAGGTTGTAGGACAGCCGCTGGTGTCATGACCAGAACTGTGGCAGCTCTGCGCGCTGGTAAAGGAGGAAGCCCCGGGCGGCGTGGAGTGCCACGGGTTTGTCCAGTGAGGTGCCAGGCACTGTGTTTCCCAAGCTTCCTGGTGACGGGGTGGGGGTGTGACCCGGGGTCACCCCACACTGCAGAGAGGCCATGGCTGTGATGACGCTCGACGCTCCTGGAGAGCAGCATTATCTGGGTTCAGAAGCCGGCCACACACTGGTTCTGGAAGCAGTGTGGGGACAGGGACACTGGTGGTGCCAGCTACGGCCTAAACCAGCTCTGAGACTGTGGTTTTTTGTTTAAGGAACCTCCACGTCTGATTCTGTGGCTCTGCTAGAAATTCTACTTAAGTTACCCAGAGTTAAATTCTGTCACTTGAAACTAAGAAAACCCATAGATATAAGCAGCTAAAAGTAAAAAAAAAAAAAGGAGGGTCTCTACTACAGTGTGAGTTTATTATCCAGGACTATATACAGTTTTCACATGAAAACAGCGTCACTCGGCACTTAGTAGGTTCTATGATGTGGCAAGGAAATGGCTGTTTCCAAAGCTACTGTCACCCAGCAGCTGCCTATGAGCGGAGTGAGGCTCCCTGGCACAGGAGGGGGAAGCAGCCGCGGGACAGACGTCGCGGGAACGCGTGGGAACAGAGTGGGCAGACTTCTCATGTCTGTAGCCGGGCTCTAATGGACTCACACACGGAGCCTGAGTGAGTCCCTTTTCCTAGGAAAGCATGTGGCCAGAGCTACAGAAATGTGGGCGGTACATTCATTAGTGGGAAGAATGTTTGTTTTTACTATTAAAGGATAGGTTTTATTTTGAATGTAGAACAAATCTGTGGTCTGGGACAGGCTAGTTTAGGGAAATAACCAGCGTGTTTACATACTAGAAACTATAGAACGACTTCTGAATGTGTAAGCCCCACTGTGGCCAGGCTGGGTCAGCCTCGGCCTCCCCACACCCGCTCTCTACCTGGATCGCAGCCGCTCTGCGAGGCTGTCCTGCAGTATTCTTCCAGCTCTGAGACCCTCCATGATCGACACACATCCTGCCTCCTGGGCGACTGTGGGCTCTCTGAAGGCACAGATCACACCTGAGTTCCTCTGAGGTCTGCAGTGCTGGGCACTGAACACGTGCACATCTGAACTGCAATTACATCTCACCACGAAAGCAAACCTGGAGTCAAGCTATCACACCTAATAGTGTAAAACTCAGCATCGGCAAAGTAACCGCTATTCACATCCAGTGGGTCTTAACTGTCTAGCCCTTCCTCTGGTCAGCAAGCCTTCCTTTCCAAGCTCTAGAGGGCAGGGGCTGGAGGAGTGACTAGTGGGACAGTTTCTACGAGGCTGGACAATTAAGTTTGCGAACTCATCCTAGAAAAAGTGCTACACACGTCATTGCTGAATATCACTACGGCAACCTTCCAAGCACTCCCCTTGGGAAGCTACGCACCGACACCAGCGCCTACTCCACCCGTCAAAGCAATATTGGAACTCTTTCTCTGAAATGGCCATCAGAGTTGCCGTCGTATTACCCTTGATGTCCTGGATGTCATCAAAATGTCTTCCTTTCAATATTTCCTTCATCTTCGAGTAAAGAAAGAAGTCACTGGGGGCCAGATCAGGTGAGCAGGGAGGTTGTTCCAATACAGTTATTTGTTTACTGGCTAAAAACTCCCTCACAGACAGTGCTGTGTGAGCTGCTGCATTGTCGTGACGCAAGAGCCATGAATTGTTGGCAAAAAGTTCAGATCGTCTAACTTTTTCACGCAGCCTTTTCAGCACTTCCAAATAGTAAACTTGGTTAACTGTTTATCCAGTTGGTACAAATTCATAATGAATAATCCCTCTGATATCAAAAAAAGGTTAGCAACATCGTTACAACAAGTTCAGAACTGAATTGTCAGACCTTGTGTGTGAGGTGCTCTGTCGTCTCCCCTCCCCATACCCCACCGGAACATTCCTGACTTCCAGACGTGCTCTGTACACACTGTGACAAGCTGGCAGGGTGAGCAGCCTCCCAGATGTCCCCCAGTGACCTCCCAGCAGTCACACTCTCGGCAGTCCCTACAACGCTGTGCCAGGGTCAGTCTGTGTGACCAACAGAATAGGGCAGGAGGGGCAGCATGTCACCTCATGAATAGGTTTAAAAGCCTGGCTTCTGTCTTGGGTGCTCTCCCCCCACGCACTCACTGTCCCACCCTCATTACAAGGTTCTTGATTTTCCAGTACAAAGAAAAGCCCGTTCAGAAGAGCGTAATATGGGTAAAACAGAGAAATAATCCAGATTCTGGACAGTTAGCAGGAGGCACAAATCAACTCTGTTGGCTTAAACAGATGCTGATCTCCAATTTTTATTACTTGAAAGCTAAACCATCTGTTTGAGTAGAAACAGATTTTACCACAAGGGAGAAGTGAAAGTGATGTCACTGAAAGCTAATGGGACTCGAGGTCACTCAGGTGCGGTGGCCCGGCGGCCGGCTCTTTTGGGTCAAGCACCAGCTGATCTAAAACCTCTCGAGTCTGGTGAACGTTCCTATGGACTAAATAGCTTACTCGTAAGTCAGATTTAAAAAGACAAAGTACTCATGGAAAAAAACTATCTGTGCAACTGCCAATAAACAACCAAAGCGATAATCCTTCTAACAAAGTGATCATTAAGTATCCGTCTCCACAAAGGCAGGCCTACCCTTCAGCCACTTTCACTTTACAAATCTATTTTCAGATTCGCTTTGTAAACGAGGGCTCAGAAGAGGCCAGGCTAAGTGGGGATAACCTAACGGCTAGGGAGGACTTAAAAACGGACACCCTGATGGCTTCAAGGAACAAAAGGGAAAAGAAGTCAACCAGAGAAGATGGGGGGGCCAGAGGCAGCCTTAGGAGTGAGTGTCAGCATCCCGGACGTGGCTGTCTCTCCTCCTCCTGCTGCGAGGCGCTAGAGATGTTCCCTCTGAAATGTCTTTGGACATTTCCCCTCTCTCCATTCCAGGCCTTTACGCCCCCGCGCCGTCTGCTGCCACGTTGCCTGGCTCATCTCGACAGCTGCAATGCTGCTCCCTGCCTCCCGGCTCGCGTTCCCTCCGAACTTTCTTCCACTGACAGACCTCCGGCAGATTAAGTCTTCACAGAGCACTCAGTGCTGTTTCCTGTTTCAGAGCTAAAGCCGCTCCCCTGACTCACTGATGACCCAGGTCCAGTAGCTGCAGCCTCGGGGAAGCACCGACTTCTCCTCTCCTGGCACAGCTCTCGTGAGCTGCACAGCCTTCTACACGGGGCACAGTGGCATAAATGTCTGTCTTCAACTCTGGAGTCCTAGGTATTGTCAGTATTTGCACATCTGCCTGATACTGAAATCACAACATGATAATCAGAAGATATCTATACAGTATAAATCCTAGCTGTTACATAGCAGTTGTGTAAATGGTACAAATTACTTTCTCAAGCTCTAATGTCTTCATTTATAAAATAAAGAGAACGAGCGTTACATGGATTCAGACATCGCAGTGGCTCAGGGTGCAGCGTGTCCCGTGCCAGGCACTGTTCTGGGTCGTAAGTGGCAGGCACAGCCCTGTCCTCACAGAGGAGGGAGCTGAGCTGACTGGGGCACCAGGAGCACCACCTGACCAGCTGCGGGGTCATGAGAACCCACAGAACAAAGTGTTTCAGAAAGAGGGGACGTCAGAAACGCACCTGAGGGGACCGGCTGCAAAAGGCGCGAGGGAATTTCTGGCCAAGAAAACATGTGCATCCCCACTGAAGGAGCAGTTTCATCACAGCTGTTTACATCTGTCACAACTCATGACATTGTACACAGAGCTGGTGACTGTTACTGTGTGTACATTATACCTCAATAAACAATTTCTAAAAATGTATTGTCGGGAAAGACAACAAAAAGGGCAGGAGCTGTTTAGATGCAAGCAGACTGAAGAACTGTGACAAGCAGGAGTGACGTCTGATCTCGGGATTCTGAACCTCTCCGCCTCAGAGCAGACGTGAAAATCTGAATGTGGGCTACATGCTAAACTGCACTGCATCAATGTTAAACTTTTTCATGTGCGGTCATATTATTGTGCTTATGTAGGAGAACAGCCCTGTCTTAGGAGATGCATATTTACATATTTAGGGGTAGAAAAAAATGTCACAACTTACTCTCGAATGGCTCAGGAAAACACATATGCGCGTAGATAGATGAATAAAGGTGAAGAAAATGTGGAAATTACCAGCCAGTGAAATCTAGGTAAAGAGTCTCCAGACACCCACTGTGCTCACCTTTCCACTTTTCTATAGATCTGAAAATCTTAAAAATAAACCCTGAGGACGGAGGAAAGGAGGGAGCAGCACACCATGTTGGCCTGCTGAGAGGGTCACGGCCAGGAGTGAGCAGAGAAGAGAACGGGGGATGAGAAATGGAGGCGATGTGTCCAGGGGAGTCTTCCAGGAGCTTGGCCAGGAAGGGGCGCAGAGCAACAGGTCGTGGGGCGAGTGTCCCTACACCCAGGTCACGTGACGCTCTGCACGCTGACGGAATGACCCGTAGAGAAGAAGGGGTAGCAGGACAGACAGGGCACAAAGGCAGCAGCCAAGTCTCTGAACCTGTGAGAGGGGCCAGGGTGCAGGGTCCACAAGGAAGGAGCCACCTCAGATGATGGTGACGATGACAGTGACAAAGGTGGGACCATAGTGTCTAACAGGAAAGGGACTGGGCACCACTGAGAGCATCTGTACTCACTCAATTCTCACCCAACTCGAAGAGGAACGTACTAGGAACACCGCCCTTTACAGATGAGGCGGTGGACGTGCAGAACAGCCCGCTACCCCACCCGACGACACACAGGACAAGCAGCCAAGCAGGACTGAGACACCTCCCCGGGGCAGGGCTTGTGCGCACAGGTGCAGCTGGCTGCCGGCAGTGGAAGGGGGACCGGCTCCGCACGATCACACCCGTTCTCTACTGTAGCATTTGGTGAGCTCACAGGGAAGGGGAGGGGGGTGGGTGGTGAGGAGAGAGGGGTGATGTGGAGGCTTGAGAAGAGAAGGAAGTGGGTTTACCAGCCGTGGCGGCAGCACTGAGGCCACTCTGGAATTAATGCTCGTGATCTGAAGGGACTCTGCTTGTCCTGACTGGACAATATTTCCAGCAATTTCCAGCTGCATACAGAGCATGGCTGGGTTTAGCTAGGGGGGGATCATTGCAGACAAGTGGGGCCTAAGAGAAAGGCGCCTGGGGAGTAAGGGGGTTTGCGAGAGGGGCGTGGGGTCTAGGCCAGGTGAGGAGGTGCGCGAGGGCACTGAGGACTGCTGGGTACAGAAAGGGGGTGGGCTCAAAGGATAGGAGGCTGTGAGGTCAGAGGGCAGCTGGAGCGTGGGAATGACAGGAAGAAAGAAAAGACAGTCAGAGCAGGCGCTTGAAGAGGCGATTTCAGAGGCGGGGCCATTACTGGCGGTGATGAGGGCTCAGCGCCACCGTGAGGATGGAGGTCAAGGTGATGCTGAGTAAAGACAACTGACCGGAGAGGCCAGGGTGCTGGTAGGTCCTCCAGGTGGGCGCTGCAGGTGTAGAGAGATGACAAAGGCAGTGCAGAGTCACCGGTGAGTGAGGCAGGACACAGCAACAAAGATGGGAAGAGACGTGAGTCTGACATCACACTAAAGGGTGTGAGGGAGACGGAAGGAGAAAGGAAGGGACACGATGTGAAAGCTGCTAGGAGCAAGGACCAGTCCCCTGCAGGCTCCACCCACAAGGCGGGACGAACACCAGGCTCCGCCCAGGAGGCGGGAAGAACACCAGGCCCCGCCCACAAGATGGGAAGAACACCAGGCCCCGCCTACAAGGCGGGAAGAACACCAGACTCTAGGGCAACAAGTTCCCCCTTGAGAGCGAGAAGGCCAATGGACTGTTGAGAAAAGAGGCTGAGGATGGAGCAAGGAACATACTCGATGAGTATTTCTCGAGTCTGAATCTGAACTTTTCCAATAGTTACTATATCCTAAGAAGGAAAAAGACAAAACTATTTTCAAAGAAATCCAAACCAGATTAAGAAAGAAATGATCCTCTAAGATTCTAGTTTTCAAATCCATGAAAGGCTCGTTGTCAAAAATTAGTTCCCAGGCCAAGATAAACAGAGTCAAACACCATCTTATTGTTTTTGGCTTCGTTCTAACCAGGCCCACTGTTCTAACCAGGCATCCTCTTGCGTAAGAACCCAATGTCAGAACAACAAAGCTGAGTGAGTCCCGCCTTGTTGACACATAAGACAAGAGCCTTTCTGATCACAGGTGGCCTGAAGTTAAATCTGTCGTGTTCACGGCAGAGAAGCCTGGGCATCTGTGGGAGGAGAATCGCGGCTGTGTCTGGAACGTGCTCTCTGGGGAGAAGTGTCACTTTGGAGCACACTGGCCTTGAGCCCCCCGTGTGACAGCTCCAGGAAGCTGAAGGGGGACAGTTCTCAGTTTATGGCGGTGTTTTAATTGTTTACATGTCTTTGTAAGATGAAGAAAATGTCATAATTCTTTTATGCTGGATCAAAAAATTATGTTTATGTCCATAAAGTTGCCTCCTAAGCATTTCTAGTAAGCTGTCTGTAAACAGCTCACTGAAAATTTAATCCTCTAGGATCTTAAAATGTACAATGAATATCTAATATGTGTTCTGGAAGACTATTTTATTGGAATTTACCTAGAATCCCAGTGTTTGGTTATGTAGTTGTGGTTTAATTATGATCACCAATGAGAACATGGACTGGCTCCACTGCAGGTTGGTTCAGAGCGCCTTTCGTTTTCGTCTTACTCACATAGTGTTAGCTTCTCGCTGCCGGACAGAGAATTTACTGGTGGTCCCATAACAGCAGGTAAATGGCCTGAGGAGGACAGCCCACCCGCATTTCACCAGAGCCTCGTATGAGGTGCCAGAGAAGGGAATCGGTAAGCGCCACCACTGTGCCCACCTCCACACACAGCAGCACTGGGCTGGGACACTGTCTTTGCCATGGAGAGCCGGCCGGAAGCAACCTGCGCTTTGCTGACACTCTTCAGCGCTCTGTAAACTCAGCGATTCTGAGCTCTTCTGTTTCTCCTCCTCGACTACAAGCAAGTACACTGTGCCTTCACCTCTTTGGATGGCCTCAAAGTATTACCGTCTTGTTAGTGATTTATTTAAGACCCAGCACTAACGGGAAAGCAAACTGCACCAGTAACACCATCAACGCAGAGTCCTCAGTATTCTGATTCAATACGAATGGGCTTCGGGGTGTGGTCTGGGAATCGTGCCACCATTTGCGATACGCAGGAGACTGCTCCGAGTTCCAAACCCCTAACTCACAAACAAACCCACTCTCAGAACACATCCGCACGTAAAAGCAGGAAGGCCCCAGCAACAGGTCTGCACAGCAGTCAAGATGCTAACTTTCCAGCTTTGTAAATAAGAGAACATATTTTTTTTTCTTTTAAATGTAGTAATTTTAAAAGGAACTTTAAGTCTTTTAGTTTTTAATGAAATAATTTTTAAAAAGAGTGTAACAATTTTAAAACAGTATTTTGTGTAAACAGTAGGAAAATGTTTCAAAATTAATGCATGGATACATACCTGCCCAAGGGGGTATTTTATATGTCTTTTACTTAATCCAGAGAACCTTGGTTAAATAAAGCAATCTCAGGTTGTTCACAAACCCAAACTGCAACTCACCGTTGACGTTTATTGCTGGCAGGACGATGGACATCTTGGGCCTGGTGGTCTTGTTATGCGTGGTCGCTGGTAGCAGCAGGTGGTCCTAAGATTAAAGCGAACAATCTGTTACTTGCAGCAATCAGGCCCAATTCAGGGTTTCTAAGCTGACAATGCTCCACTGGGATCATCAAAAGGGACCGTTTTTACTTGAACTTGGCTTTGGGGCACTAACACACAAGCCCCTCACAGTTCTTTCATATTCACAACGCAGCAGACAGGCACTGAGCGTCTGTCGGTACCAGGGACTCGGTCTGTTCCTGCGCTGTCCCCGGGCTCCGGTAACATGCGCGGCAGCTCCCAGGGCACTGGGCAGTCAGAACGGAGAGCTTTCCGTTCTAGTTCTGTCAGGGACTAGCTGTATGATCTGGGTCCTGTAAAATGAGGGGGCTAGACTAGATCATGTCACAAGACACTGCAGTTATCTACCCAAGAGTCATTTTCAAACTTTTTTTTTTAAGAAGAGGGGCCTTTTCCCCCGAAATGCTGATCCCAAGTTATTGCTAGTACAAGACCCTGCCCAAAGCCTCTGCCACTTAGCCTGCCGTCTCCTCTAAAGGAAAGCAGCCACAGCACGAGGCTCCCCTGTAAGCAGCAGGTACATGTGTGCTAGTGCAGGTGTGCGGCTTGGCAACAGAGCTCAGAAAACTGTCCACACACGCCTCGCGCACCTACACAGGTCGGCATCTAACACTGCCAACTCGTGACGGCCAGTCACCCAGGCCACCCGAGGCTGCTGGTTCCCAGACACACACACTGCGTCACTGAGCCCAGAGAACTGTGGCTTCAAAAGGGTGGAGCAGTGTTTTGGGGACACGTGTATACAGCTGTGGGTATTCTAAAGTGATTGCAAGTGGCTCGGGGCTTTATAAACTACTGTTCTCAATAACTCCTTTTTCCTAAGAGAATCAGGAATAGTCGCAGCAAAAAAGAATAAAAAGAGAAAAGAAGGTACATTAGTGTTGCCATTTAAGGGAGCATGGTTACACAGAGAAAACCGGGACCTAAGTTGAACCCCACTTGCTTTCTTGTTCCTTTGTTCATCTATTTCATCATTCATTCATTCATTCAACAAAATCTCTGTAAGGAGGACTCATCAAAGTCAGGTTTGACATAGCTGAGAGGGACAAAAATCCAATGCAACTTAGTTCAATATCAGTGTGAGTATGAAAGGTGGTCATCAGTAAAGCGAAGGAAAAAAACCTAGAAGGAAAAAAACTGAAATTCACGTACGTGAACAGAGCTGCATAGAAAACATCTCCAGTAATCGTACTTTGTTTCGTTCAAGGCAAGATTTCCGTGAGAACATGTTTTTTTAAAAAGGGGGAAGATGAGTGAGGCTGGTCTGTAAGAATTCCAGCATCGCAGCATGGGACATTTTTAAATGCATTGCTAGACACAGAGATCACACATTTCTGAGAGGAGGATGACATATGATAGCCCAGAGAAAAACAAAATTTGCTCATCTTCATGCCATGAAACATAAATAGCTCAATCCCTGTAATTAAAATACTACTTCAGCATCCCCAAAATTGAATAAGAAAACAAACCAACAAACTTGCAAGCCCCAAATTAAGGCTACTGTAAAAATAAACACTTAGATTCCATGGTCACGGGTTAAGGTTGGGCTCCGACTTACATCTGAGCTTCCTGCTAAGATCTGGATGCCACATTAAGTGTCGTTTTGAACAGGACTTTCTGAACACAGTATCACCTACTTTCTCTCTTCAATTTCAAAGTAGTTACTTTTGCAGCAGAAAGCCAAAAACCAATTATTTACAAAAAATGAGAATCACACCTGAATGCATGAAAATTATTAGTTAACCTGCCTTACCTCTAATTATTAAAGGTTTGCAAACGGAGCAGTGGTGAGTGGGGGTGCCTATAATCTAAAGTGTTTGTAAGAAGCCCTAACGACCAGAAGTGCAGAGCATCAAAGCTGGTGCACCACAACCCTAACAGTGCTTATCAGATTCTAAAAGTAGTCCCCACACATACTTGCACACGCACACATGCATACACACGCCTGGAACAGTGCAGCTGCTTCGTTTAACATCCACCTTCACTTCCTCAGACTCGATGAGCCCCAGCTATGAACCTTGACTCTTGCGTTCTCTCCACTGCGTTCATCTCCTTTCCAGCGTACGTTCTTCTATGACTGACATCTTCAGAAACCAGGAGCTTTATTCTCTTAATCAACAAACACTCACTGCCTTACCAGTCATGAAACAAACTCCCTGTGCACAGCGGTGCGCGCGCTCAGCCCTGCGCCACAGAGGGTCTCTTCTTTTAAAGGTTAAGTTCTGGCATCTATTTTGTCGGGGAAACAATGCTCATCGCGGCAGAAACAGCCACTTGTGCCCGGGTCTGCTCCCCTCCACAGCATCAGAACAGAAGCAGAACCGTCAGGCTGAGTGGGCACAGGTCACCGGGACACAGGCTGTTCCCAAGCCTCCTGACATCACATGTGGCCACGAACTCAAGTTCAGGTCAGGCGGCTGCCAGGAGAAACGGGGCCCACAGCTCTGCGCGGTGGCCATGCCTGCGCCTTGCCCGTCGTCCTGCAGCTGGATGGTGCCGCTGAATGCTGGGCCTGGGGAACCCCTCGGACACAGCGTGGCAGCTGCACTGTGCCATCAGGGCGTGAGCAGACAGACGGCACCAGGCGTCCAGATGCTCCAGGAGCTGCCGCAAGACCACTCAGACCAACCCAGGACAGAGAAATAAAATCCTGTTTTGTCTAGGCCACCGTTATTTTGGATTTTCTGTCATGCATAGCTGTTCCTAAGCCTAATTACTAGTTATATTAACAATTTATGAAACATTACTAAAGGTATTTAGTCAGGAGGGGTCTCAATAATGGTTAAAGTAACCAGAGACAGTGTTGCTCTTTTTAACAGCATAAAACACCATATTTATTATTTACCCTTCTTCATAGGTTTCCCCACCCCATTTTTACTTATTTAGTAAAGAACCTGTAGAGCAGCAGTTCTCAACTTGTGGGTCGCGACCCCTTTGGGGGTCGAACGACCCTTTCACAGGGGTCACCTAAGACCATCGGAAAACAAAAAGATATTTACATTACAATTCATAACAGTAGCAAAATTACAGTTATAGAGTAGCAAAGAAAATAATTTTATGGTTGGGGGTCACCACAACATGAGGAACCGTATTAAGGGGTCGCGGCATTAGGAAGGTTGAGAACCGCTGCTGTAGAGGAAATTACGTCCTGGAAAAGTAGAGATATAATGTGATGAGTCTGAGCAAAACTCTTTCCTACTCTTTCCTTCCTATTAAGTCAGTTAAAATAATGCAGCTGCAACAAAGGTAAAGCTGCTTAAAAATAAAAAGAGGAGAAAAGGGTTGTTACCATGGAGATAAATGATTCTGGCACCGTCATTCCAGATGGTGTCACTAATTGTAAGGCATCTTCAGAGAGACTCCTGCAAAGGCCTCATAGGACTGAAGCACCATGGGGCCCGTCCCAGGAGGACCATGGGGACCAGTCTTACAGTCAAGGCTTTGTTATTCTTATTCCCAGAAGTCAGAGAAACAAGCACTGGCGGGGAAACACCACAACATTTCACCGTGAGAAAAAGCACCGGCTTTCCCACGTTCTGCAAGGGCGTGCAGAGAAAACTGCTCTCCGTATGCAATTCCCCAGCTGCCTCTCCCAAGCCCTGCGCTGGAAAGAACAGACACACAGCACAGCTGGCACCAGCCCGCTCCTCCCCTCTGGAGAGCAGCGTGGGGAAGGAACCGGGCCCCACTGGCTCAGCTAAAGGTGATGGGGGTGACTCGCCGCACACGTGAAGTCCCACTAAGCGCTGCAAAATGCTGATTCTACCCATCAAGCAGAGTAGAAACTGACCTACAATTTAAACTGATTTGCTGGACTAAATGACCCCTCACCTCCCCCCACCCCAAAACTTACTGACTGACTCCCATAGCACACCGAATATCCATGACTAGCTTAGTTGTTTTTTTTCCAAAACTATTCTTGCTATTTGTAATTGTTAGTGTAATTTAACAACATATTACTTAAACCGATGCAATGCAGTGTGAAAAGACAGCAAGACTTAATAAAGTGATAGGTTAAAAAATTTCCCCTCATTACAAAACTGCCATAAAGGCCGGGAACAGGGCCGGCCGAGTGGCGCGATGGTTAAGAACTCACTTGGGATGCCAGAGGGCCCCGGTTCGGATCCCACATATGAGGGCCAGTGACACTGCCCTCCACAGCTAAGATGCTGAACAACAGCTCAACCTGGAGCTGGGCTGCCATGAGTCGCCGGCGACGGCATGGGCTGCAGTCCCTGTGGCAGTGGATTGCCATGGGCTACCGTGTGTAGCCAGCAGCCAGCGTGAGCAGCCAGCAGCCGCAGTGAGGGGCCGTCCAGAAGCCGGTGACTGATCTGCCTCGCCAGAGAAGAGCGCAATGATGGTGCCAACTTGGGCCAGTGAAGCAACATCCTCCACAACTAGATTGAAGAACAAAACGACAGCAACTTGTCTGTTTCCCTTTCCCCAATTCCCCAGCACTGTTCCCATCCCCCCAATTCCCCAATAAAAAAAAATCTTTAAAAAAAAAAAAAAAAAGGCCGGGAACAAAATCCTAACAGCCTGCATTCAGATGGCTTAACAAGCATCTTCGAGTTCTCATCCTGATTTAAAGAACTGAACCTGACATGGGAAATTACGGTCAATGCGCCGAGTGCAGTTTGCACAAGGAAGGCAGCCTGGCACTCTAGTGGGTCCAGACTTAAGGAAAAGGGATTGGCCCCGCCCCGAAACCCAGCAGATGAAGGCACATTTACGTAATGAAATGAAATCACATAAAAACATACACATGCTGTGGACAGCTCAAGGCCAGGAAGGCTTTGACCAGGAGTTCCTATGACTTCATCCGACGACCTGAGCTACTGAGCTACTCCGAGTTCAGAACACCGAGCTTTTCCAAAGGCTGGACGGGGTGTGAGGAAACACAGGAGGGCCCGGGACTTGTCATGTCATCGTCTGTCGGACGCCATAGGGACAATTCAAAAT